GTTACAGGATGGGACGTGTGTATTGAAGAATAACCAAGCAAATTCCCAGCCAGTCCAGGGAAGCCGGAGGGCCCTCATAGCAGAACGGGGCACAGACAGCATTTTCGTGGGATCCAGTATCTCTGTTACCCTCAGGGCTGGCCAGGCCAGGACCTGAGAATCTGGGGACCCCTCTGGAATTATCAGTACATGTCCTGAACAGTCAGGCCTGTCTTTATGAAAACTGTCTCCCCTTCCCTTACAAGGACTGCCTTGATCTGCAGTCGTTTTCTCTACAAATACAGTAAACCCTTGAAATGGGGCAAAGTACACGGAACATGACCCAAACCTGGCTTCTGTCCTAAACCTGGGGCCCAATCTCAAATAAAGGTGGGCAAAACGCTTATCTTTGTGGGGCTGGTAAAGAAGTGATTGCCTGTGCTCCTTCGGAACGTCCTTAGTTTTGTCTGCTGCATGTACTAAGGTTTTGCATCTTTACTTTTGTGTTTCTTTGTGATAGTACAGACCAACTGAAAAATACTACTTTTCATTGATCCTACAATAACATAACTCCACATTTTACATGACTGAACATTTCTGTACTTGGCTTATTGTCTTATGGCAGAGTTTTACTATATTAAGTGCCTGTTTTGTGCCATGGTACTGTGCTAGGTTTATGGCAATGAATATAACTGACATGGTCTCTGTTCTCAGGGAACTTGCTTACTCACACAGGAAATGGACAAGAAACTGATAAGATAACTGTAAACTGGAATATGGGATATGAAGAAATCAAAGGACTGAAACAAGGAATTCCCTGGTGGTCCAGTGGCTGACTCCACACTTCCACTGCAGGGGCCATGGGTTCAGTCCCTGGTCAGAGAGGTGAGATCCTGCATGCCATGCGATATGGTCAACAACAGCCACAAAAGACTGAAACCAAATGATAGAGGGATTCACTTAAGGTGATTTGAAAGGCTTCTCTAAGGAAGTGACATCTGAACTGAGGAAGATGAGATGGAGAGAGCTAGAGGGAAGGGAAAGCATTCTAGAGGTCAGGAATAGCATGTACACAGGCCCTGGGGCAGGACTAGAAAAGATTTAGTTTTAAACTGGGTGAGTGTAGATCCAGGTGTCCCAGAGCAACCTGAACAATGGAGAACTGGGGAAGATGGAAGCCCTGGAGCCAACCAGTGCTCAAGGGTGAGGCCTAAGCCACAAGTTCAAATATGCTGTGGATCACTCAGCTGGAGACTGTCCTAGACTGGAGCTATGGGAGTCTGCACCGAGAGTAGGGGTGATTCGAGGCAATGATAATTTATTGGAAATCTTCCTGAATTTCAGAGACAGTGTGGGCCACAGGACCCTGATGGCTGGGAGGAAATGAGCATCCTTTTTCCTCTTCCCTAAAGAATGTGCAGCCTGGCCTAGGTTCCCTTTCATTCATCAGCAATGGTTGGTTGAAGCCTCCTTTGTGCCAAGCACTGTGCTAGGCACTGGGGGGATACAGCAATTAACAAGACAGATAAACAACTGCCCTCAAGGAGCTCACATCCTAGCTGGGCGGAGGCGGAGCAAAAACAAAATACAAAGCTGCCCACAACAAACTCAGCATTTTGGAAGAGGAGGAGGTGTCTGGAGTGATCTCCCTTCCTGAATGGGGGCTCTGGGATTTGGGCTCCTCCATTAGTTTTCCTCTATTAGTTTTTTTTCTAGTGGATTCTATTTGGAGACCAGAGTTCTTTCCTCCTTGGATCCTCTTTCCTGTTGGTGAAAATTTAAAGAGAAACACACGCGCGCGCACACATACACCCCTCCCCTTTTAAGGGCTGTTAAAGGCCCACACGCAGACAAAGAAACACCCAAATGCACATACCTCTCTAATCTCCCTAAATCCCCCAAAGGCTGGGGTGGTGATGGTAGCGGTTCCCTGCTTAGCGCAGGAGAAGCCAGGCTAGGGGGCCTGAAGACCATGATCAGCCTTAGCTCTCACACCCCTCTTCTCCAGGCCTGGTCCCTGGTCCCAGTCATTCCCACACCTGGCCTCCCCAGCTGCAGGGAGGTGAATGAGTGTGCTGGGCAAACATCCTTGCAGCTTCCTGCTGCGCCCTCGGAGACAACAGAACTCTTCTTCCGCCTTCCCCTCTCCCAGCTGTGGGGCTTCTTGGGGATCCAGAGCCCTTTCCCTATAGAGAAACCAGAGTCATCCTTTCCCCTGAGCCAGAGGATACAGCTGGTATCTCTCTCTGGGGACATGACCTGTTCTCCCTCTGGTCCTTTATCCCAGTTTTCTGAACACCAGCCCCTCTCTCCTACCTGCCCAGGGTTCCAGGGTCCCAGGGAAGAGGGCTCTAGTTGAGGGGGGGGCGCACATCAGGAACTGTGGGAGAATGGGGAGGGGATGGGAGGAGAAGCCCCCTCTTCGGGCAGGAAAGACAGCTTCTTCCCAGGGATGTCTCTGAGAATCACACAGACTAGATTGCCACAGGATAAAGATGTCCTCATAGAAGGAAAAATACAGCACCCCTGGCCACCTCCAAGCAGACAAGACTTATGCAGAGTATGCAACTCATTCTCCTGTCTCTAAGAGAATGCATATTTCTTACACACGTGTGTTCAGGGTGAGCATCCTTTTTGATTTTTGCCTTTTTAATAGAGCATACATGGTTTCTACTGTGACTTCATGGCCTTTATCTGGATTTTGAAGGGTAGTGAATAACCTACCCTCCATCTTCCAGACTGAGAAGCACACAGACCTCACCCATTCCCATCTTTAACCCTAGAAACACTTTCCTATCCTTATGCAGAAAGAAAAGGGAGTTGGGGATGGGGTTCGAATGGGTTCCCAACTGGGAGGGACCTTAGACATCTAAAGGGAGGCACCAGAAAAGGAAGGTAACTGGCTCAAGAGCACACGGCAACTCCTACCCGAGCAGTCCTTACCACCATCACCATTAGTCTCCAGGGCATGTTACCTACAGAAACTTACCTGGCAGGCATCATCCTACATTAATCTTCAACTTTCTCACTAAATCTCTATAAGAACACTATGGGAAGGCTTTCTATATCTCCATGTTTCAGATAAAGAATCCAAGGCCCACAGGAAGAAAATCACTTGTCTGAACTGCCCAGCTGGCTGGCGGCAGAAGCACAGCTAGAACCCAGTTTCCGGATTCCCATCCCAGGAGCCTTCGTTCCTCTTAGAAATTCTCTCCCCCTGCCTCACCTGGCCTTGCTTGGGCCTGAGATAAGGAGCTCCTTGAGCAGAGTTTTTCCTCCCCAGGCCCAGTACTGGATACCGCTGACCACAATCACGCATCCTTTCCTGCGCTGGACCAAGGCCCAGATGAGCAGCTGGGGACACAAGGCTGAATGCAGCCGCAGCAGGAGGCTGTAGGCGGCAGAGTTCATTCAGAAGAAAGCCCAAATCGGAGCTGCTGCGGGCTCAGGGAACCTGACAGGGGGCTCCATCAACAAAGGCATGCGCTCCAGCAAGCCGCCCCCGCCCCCAACCTCCGACCAGTGTCTGTCACCAACTTCAAGAGGGGTGTGTGGAACCCCAGATCCCTGGGCCACAGCATCCTTGGGAAGACTGATCCAACCTCTCCCTGTATTGTAAATGAGCAAACAGGCGCAGGCGGGAAAGGCTCCCTGGGAGAGGCAGAAGCAGAGGCAAGGCTAGAACTCTGGCCTCCCCGCTGCCAGGTCAAGCTCTCTCCCCTCCTCCCTGACTGCAGAAGTGTGCTTTCTCTGACTGGCAGCCGGGACCTTCCTCAGAGAGCAGGGTGACCTGGATCTGCTGCCTAATGGAGGACCGGGGGACCTCCCACCACACGCCTCCCTGCCTCGGGTTCCTGTCTTTGGGCTTGTTTAGCCATCAGCAGCATGGGACAGTTTAGGTCGAAGTCCAAGATGCCCAGTCCCTGAAGGCTGTGTGCCCTTGGCTCTTGTCTGCCAAATTCACAGTACTCCCAGGAGTTAGAGGTCAGCAGATAGGGACCCTTGAGATGATTACTGTGTGTGTGAGACAGAGAGGCAGTTCACTGCCTGGGGTGGGGATCCCCTCAGAACCCCCAAGTTCCCACATTTAACTCGACGGGCCCTTCTGAACCCCAATACTTTCTCCCCTTACAGAGCCCATCTCCCACCCCACCCCCCACCCCAGCGCCCTAAGGCTGAGCCCGAGGGCAGGCGGGCGGGAAGAGGAAAGAAGCCACGTTTCTTTACGGGGTGGCGGGTGGACAGAAGAGAAGACACGGGTAGTTACTAGCCACAGGGAGAGAGACTCGAGGGATTGAGAAACAGACCTAGAGAAAGACCTCCCTCCTCCGGAGCGATCACCCTGTGCGGCCCCCGGCCAGTTGAGGGTCAGGTCCTCCCTGGGGGAAATCTCTGGCCTGATTTCCTGGGGGACAGGCACGGCAGTACCCCTGAATTCCCGAGTCTGGCTCAAAGTCGGGGTCTGGCTCGGCGCCCCCCCACCCCCCGCCCACCCCAATGGGCGTCTGGTCTCTGGCCCTTCGAACACGCCCCTGTGCGCCCCCCAGCGGAGAGCCAGAGGCAGAGCCACTGAGGTCCTAAAGGGGGCGCAGGAAAGGGCGCCGCCACTTTGTGCCCCATCTGGCCCCGGAACGCCGGGCTGGGGGCTGCAGGACGACTAGGAGAACTGGGGCAGGGGCAGAATCGGTGTCTATTGAGCTCATATTAGGGGATCGGATGGCCCCGACCCCTCGACGAGTTCCCTTCCCCTGGAAGGCCGAGGCCAGTGTATCCACACGGACGGAGCCCCCAGGAGGAGCGCGGACTGGCGCAAGCTCTCGGGGTTCCAGGGAAGTGTAGAGGGATCGGGTCACCGAATCTCAGAGCCCTAAGTACGTGTATCTCAAGGGGACCCAGCGCCGAGCCGCCCTCCCCCACTTCTGCCCAGTGATGCGTATAGTCCAGTTCTTCTGGAGGCCCCAGGTGCACCGCGAAGAGGCGTAAGGAGTGGTGGAAGGCGAAGCCCAGACCCTTCATCTTACCGCATTGTTGAGGAAATCCGACTCGTTCAGATCCCCCAAGTCCAGGAAGCTGGATCCGGGAAACAGCCTGTCGGCCGGGAAGGGCTCCAAGACGGCGTCCATCGCGGCCGGCTCCGGAGACCCCCCTACGGCTGGGCTTCCCCTCACTCCAGGGCGGCGGCGCGCCCGGCCCAGAGCTCCGGCCCGAGCGCTGGCAAGCGGGCGGTGTGGGGGGGCGGGCAGGTCCCGGGAGAGGCCTTAGGGCAGAGGCGCAGAGCGGGCTGCGCTCAGGGGCCCCGGGCGCACCGCGGGCATCTAGCCGACTCCTCCTCCGCCGGCTCCTCCCGGGGCACAGCTGGCTTCCATGGGGAGCCCGGGAGTGGGGCTGAGGGCTTGAGGAGCCCCCCCGGACAGGGTGGGAGCCGGGGGAGGGGGAGCTGAGCGCTCCCCCCCGAGACTGGGTGGCTGCCGGGCGCTCCTCTCTCTCTGCGTCTCCCTCTGCACGGCTTCTGTCACTTTCCCTCTCTGCGAAGCCGGGAACCCCGGGCTGGTTAGCCCAGCTGGCCGAGGCGCCACGCCTCCTACATCAATATTCACGATAATTTCATATTAATGAGGAGGGGCGTGGCCTAGGGAAATCCTTTCCCTACTCCTTTAAAGAGACAGCTGCGAGCTAGTCTTGCAAATCTGTGTTGCTCAAGGTAGGGGCTTGAAGCAAACATTTCGTAGCTCCAGTAACCATGTTCTTTGAACCTCAGCTTCTTAAGGCTTTGCCAACCACATTCCCATAAATTCACGAGGGAGCTGAGTTATTTCTATTCCTCTAGGCTTATGCAGTCGTCTGAACCAAGTCCACAGTCAGGGAATTCCATCTCATGGGCTCCTCCACAAATCTCCTCTCATTGGGGGGATTTTCAGGTCTCCTCCTCCAAGAAGCCTTCCCTGACCCCAGACTGAAGCAGTTACCATTGCTATATATTCACAGGATATGGTGTGCTTACCTCCTTGATTGTCATTGTCTGCTCCTATATCTCTGACCCTTCTGGACTCCGAGATCCCTAGGGCAAAGACTGTATCTGGCTTTCCTGTGTGTGAAAGTAATGGGGCGGGGGGAGGGCAGGAGAGATGAGGTAAGGACCCCTCTTCTCAAGTACCCCTAATGGTTCTGAAGAGCTAGAAGTTGGAGAAGAGTGGCTATGTGGTCTGTGTGAGCCAAGGTGTGGGCTGGCTGCGTGCTCCGTGGTCACAGACACTCCCAGGCCCCCTGGATCCATTACCTAAGTGACTCGCTCCAGAGTACAGCTTAATCTCTTGAAAGGGCTGATAAACAATCACCAGGCACCTGAGCAAATGGATATGGCCAGAAAGTCACTCCCTCAGAGGGCTGGGCTCAAGGTTCCTGCCCAGAAGTCATTAATAGGATTAAGTGTGTCCTCCTTGTTTGGAGCTTTTAATTAGCTCAGGAACCAAAAGGCCTTTAAGAAGCGGAGATGTCATTGCAGTTAAGCCAGGGATGTCACCCAGATCGCTCTCTCAGTGCCAAGCTGGGGAAAGGGCACACCTAACCTGAGGTAGCAGCTGTTTGCTTGCCTGGGGTAGGCTGGCAGGCACGTGGCTTTCTGCCCATCTCCCCATCCAGTTGACATAGTTCTGGAGAATGAAGTTCTGACCCTCCAGATTGTCATATGACTATTAGCTCCTGGACCTCCTGGAGAGTTTGCTCCTAAGAAGCTGCGAATACAGCCCATGCTCTGGGGACCGGTTCACCAGCAATTCAACTCTGAGAAGCTGTGCTATGTGTTAAGTCGCTTCTATTGTGTTTGACTCTTTGCGACCCTGTGGACTGTAGGCTTCTCAGTAGGCAAAAGCACTGGAGTCGGTTGCCATGCCCTCCTCCTGGGGGTCTTCCTGACCCAGAGATCGAACCCACATCTCCTACATTGCAGGCAGATTCTTGACCACCGAGCCACCGGGGAAGCCCTCTGAAAGTTAGGTTGGGCCAGAAAGAAATCAGTTCACTCTCTAAACAGTGGCAGGTGGAGTGAGGGTGCCGAGACTGTGGGTGTTTTCCCCAGGTGTGTCACATCTGGCCAACTGGGGAGCAGTCAGACACTGAGAATTTGACTGACCCTTCGTGGGGGTGCGGGGGAGTGTGTGTGTGATCTCTGGCTAGGCAGACAAGCCAGTCCGTGGTGGGCGATTTTGCGACTACAGGTGTCTGGAGTCCTGGCTCCTGAGCGGGAGTCTCAGCGGGCTCCCAGGAGGAACAAAAGTGCCCCTCCGCCTGAGGTTGGCTGGAAACTGTGCCTGTGCTCCTCCTAGCCTGCTCTGTAATTAGAGACACAGGCACCACTTAAGTGATTGGGGAAGATTATAGAGTTTTAGATAAATGAGATTAGAGTGTCCTCTCTTTCCTGATTCTTACCCAGGTGAACACCCCAGGAAACCATTGAAAATAATCCTGGGGAGACACTCTGGTTCTGGCACCTCCTGTGGAGTCTGAGAGGTGGGAGCTCCCGAGAATTTCTGGGGGGAGGTGATGGGGGGAGTAGAGAAGAGAGGGAAGAGGAATGGGCAATGCAGAGCCTAGCATGTCCCAGCCAAGGTGAGGATGGCAGGGGGTTTCTGCACACGTCCTACAGGTGTTATTGAGCGTCTGTGAACAGTCCCTAGACCTGGCCCTGGGGTACAGTGGTGATTCAGAATTTATATTCTAGAGTGAATGAGGAAGGAATGGGCAAAAAAAAAAGTTAATTTTAATTTCAGATAGTGATAGGATATGAAGGAAATAGTGTGGTATGATGGAGTGGGTAAAGGAAGGCTTCTCTGAAGAGGTGATGTGTGAGCTGAGAACTGAAGTTATTTCTGGGGCGAAATGGAGGAAAAAGCACTCCAGATAGAGGGATCAGCAAGTAGAAGAGAAAGCAAGAGAAGGACTGGGAGGGGCAGGCAGTGACATGGGAGAGAGAAGACGAATGTGAAATCCCGAGGCCATATGCACATATACACTGACACTGCTCAAGTGGTAAAAAGAACTATGCCTGTTCAGATTCAAGGGCCCACCTGAAGCCTTCTATGGCANCCCCACCCCCGCCATACTGCAGGGCATGCAGGATCTTAGTTGCTCAACCAGGGATTGAACCTGCACCCCTGCAGTGAAAGCACGGATTCTTAAGCACTAGACCACCAGTGAAGCCCCCGTTATCTATATCTCTTAAAGATTTTCCAGAAAGGGAGACTAGACAGCTCACTGGGTCTTCAGTCTGGTCTCTGACCCAGCAGGGAGGGTCTGCTTCCTCCAGGCCTGTCCTGAGGCCAGGCCTGATCCCACAACCCAGACGCCTCAGGCCCCTTCTGTTCATCTGAAGGGATGGGGGATGGAGGCCCAGATTGGTGTTTCAAACATCCCCAAATGCTCCAGGTCAGGAAAAGCTTGCAGACCGTAACCCCTCCAGTTGTGGGCTCAGCAACATCCGGTTGGTGTTGTCTGCAGCAGCTCCAGCTGGTTGGTGGTGTCTGCAACAGCTCCAGCTGTGAAGCGTAATGCATAAAGATGCCCCAACCCAGTCAGTGACGCACAGGAGAGAAGGTTCAGAGATAAGCTTCCTGCCTGTCCCAGACACTGGAGGTCAGGTGGAGAGAGAGGTATCTGCCAGGCTGAGCTGTGAGCAGGAAAGGTGTGTGTGCATGTGCGTGTGTGTGTGTGTGTGTGTGTGTGTGTGTGTGTACACGTGAGTGTGTGAGGGTAGGGGGCCTGGCTGGGGACTGCAGCACTTTGACACCCTTAGAGAGTCACTGACCTTCTCTGGGTCTCAGTTTTCACATCTGTCAAATGGGAGAGGTATTCATGATGCCTAGGGTCCTGTCTTCTCCAAGCACTTTCCAGATGTGTCCTTAGCAGGCCAGGAATGGTAGAGAGTAGGGAGAGATGGGTGAATGGCCTGCCTCCTTAGGAGGCCCAGGGCTCTGATTTTCCAGGCTTTGGCCCTGGAGCCTCGAGGAGGGTGCAAGGCTGGGTGTTTACATTTGGCAGGCAGGCCCTGGGTGGTGGTGAGAAGGTTGCCCAAAGTAAACCTGCCTTGTTTGCCTGGATTGTAAAGGGAAAAACGCTTTGGCACACTCTACCAGGAACTTCTGAGAAATGAAAGCATATTCATCCTGGAGATTAGGTTGACTTCCGGGCCACAGACGGGCCCCTTTGTTCTCTCGTGGCTCCCTCACAGGGGCCACATGGCTGTCCTCCCTGTACGTCCCGCTGGGACAGAAGGAGTCCCTGGGGCGTCACCTTGCCAGGCTGCTGGGGGCGCGCCTCAGACCCCCAGCTCTCCATGGTCTTGGCCTGTGGTTCCTTCCCCGCTCCTCCGGGAACCATAAAATACCTGACTGGTGTTGAGAATTTGCTTGTGCCAGGCACTAAATACTTTGACTTGTATTATCTCGTTTAATTCTGGGAACACGCTGGGGAGATAAATATCATATTCACTGATTCTGAGAAGCACATTTAAACATCTCTGAAATCAGAAAGTGTCTTACAATCAGGAGCATGTCATGCTTGAATAGACAGTGTTTTTTTTCCTTCTTAATGTATGGTACCAAGCAAATGGCAAAGCGTCTGATTGATAACAGCTTAGATTCGATGAAACAGGATATTATCATCCCCCCCCAGTCTGCAGATGAGAAAACGGAGGCTCAGAGAGTTCACTGGACTTAACCAGTCCTTTATTTTGCAGGGAACCAAGCCCTCGAGGCCTCGGAGGCTTTCCTTAGGTCAGCCAGTTTCAATGAGACAGAGATAGGGCTGAAATCCGGGCCTCCGGGCTCCTCACCCGGGGCCCTTTCCACTCACCCCAGATGAACTGGGTTTGCTCGCTAGGGAGAGGCAGGCGCGGAGGGGAGGGCCTTCCTCAGCGGCCAGTGAGTCACCGGCCACCCTACCTTGGAGAAGGGCCTTAAAGATAGAATTTTTTTCCCCTTTCCAAATTCTCTGAAGACTGAAGTTCCTTAAGGACGAAGAAAACACTTGTCTCCCTTCCAGCTCCTTTTCCTGGTAATTATTTTCGCTCGTCTTTCCCTGAATTTCTGCCCCGCCGTCCCATCCCGGGACGGCAGGCAGGCCCGCCCCTTCTTGGCCCAGCGTCCGCCCCGCGGCCTGGGGAACAGCTCCACCCACTTCCTGCTCTGCTCCGCGTCCTGCTCTACCTCGCCCTTCTTGCCTCTACCTCGAATCACCTGCACCATCTGGGCTTCTAGATGCCTCTGTCACCCAGGCTGCTGGCTCCAACCCCCAGGACGCACACTCAGACATACCGTGCTGCATCCTGCTCGCTCTCCCAAGTGTAAAGTCAAGGGAGAAAAGTCGAGAAGGCTAGTCTTTGGCCTCGGGGAGCCATCATGTCATTGGGGATACTCTCCTACTCTTGCTCCCCACTCTTGTTTCACCGGGGGCTGACAGAGCTGGGACTGGGTCTCAGAGGAAGGGCAGAGGCCTGGAAAGAGGCTTGACTTTGCCGATGACCTACTGCCCTTGC